TTTTCACTTTATAAGACTTCTGAATTTTAATTCCAAAACAGAATTTAGTTCTAGTTGCACTAAGTAAAGTAAAATTTAATTTAAACCTGTCACTTGCACCCTCTTCTACGTTTCTACTCTTAATACTCGTAAGTTTCTATTCTAATTAGTTCTATTCTGTTTAATATTGATCACTTCAAAGTATTACTCAATTCACTTCAAAGAAGCGATCGCTTTGCTTCTCGCTTCATCACTTCGACATTTTTTAGGCCATTGCTTTGCCTCGCCTTTTGCCTTTAACAACACTGATTTCATATAGCAAATGGCATGGACCATTTAACATTGTCATTCCAGAATTTGTCTAGTAAGTTTGTCCAACAACAAATGCAAAATAATACAGGCTTGGACCTTGGAGTGGATACCCAATTAAACTTATTCTAATAAGATAAGGAAAGACATTTGTTTCATCTCCAATTGTTCTTTTAAAATAATAATAGTTTATTAATTATTGTCTTTCATATCTTTATCACAACGTGGATTGTAAATTTTCCAATCTCATATTATCCTTATTTTTTCCCTTTGCTGTCTCATGAGTTGGGATTTATGCTTCTACTACAGTTTAATGTATGCAGTTACTAGCACGAAAATTTGTTGGATCATATAGATAACTCAATCTTTGAGGACTGGTGCTTGAAGTCTTTAGATTCAATTGTTCCTTAATGTTCCATCAGTTCTTAATGTGCAACTCTAATTGTCATTAGAAACTTTTTATTATTACGTCTCAAAAGTTGTAAACTTCAGGATTGAGGACATTCTTTTTTTCTAACTCTAATTTTGTGCTTCATTTCTGATGTTTGGCCTCCCAAAATTCAGGTCTCTTCTGTTAAAGTTATACGCAACAAGCAAACTGGTCAATCTGAAGGATATGGATTTGTTGAGTTTTATTCACGTGCAGCAGCTGAAAAAGTTCTGCAAAGTTATAGTGGATCTCTAATGCCAAATATAGAACAGCCTTTTCGTCTGAATTGGGCTTCATGTAGTGCTAATGATAGGCGGTCAGATACTGGTTCTGATCTTTCTATATTTGTAGGAGATTTGGCTGCAGATGTAACTGATACATTGTTGCATGAGACATTTGCTAGTAGATTCCCATCTGTTAAAGGAGCCAAAGTTGTCATTGATGCAAATACTGGTCGATCAAAAGGATATGGTTTTGTTAGGTTTGGTGATGAAAATGAAAGGTCAAGGGCCATTACTGAAATGAATGGTGAATATTGTTCAAGTAGAGCAATGCGAATAGGTGTTGCAACGCCTAAAAAAGCATCTGGATATCAGCAACAGTATTCTTCACAAGGTATATTACAATTGATGTCTGGTACTTAAAAGCGTCTTTTTTTTAATTTTTTTTTTGGAGTACCTATTTGTTGTATACTATATTCTAGTTATCCTTAAAATTCTTTCCAAATTAGTTTGCTTCTATACTTAAATATTACTTTGAAGCTCTATTGGGAGTATTTTCTGGGTTCTGTCATAAGATGCAGACAGAGGATAACGTGGTTGGCCTTCCATGCAATTCATTTTCTTTACTGATTTGATAAGGCATTCCTGATCACTTTACTGTTGGACCTTGGCATTTAAATTGTAGCAGCAGCTATGATAGTGGATTTGTTGCAATATTTGTTAGGTCTGCCAGTCATTCTTCAGTATCTGAAGTTTGCATAATTTTTCTTGATTCATTGTTAATAATCTCTTTGTCCATCATATTATCTTGTTTGTATAACATTCTGGTATGAGTAAAACTTTTGTCTTTGCATTTCAAATTAATGTTTCGATGGGACTTCTTTATGCTAACATTTTTCTCTTTGATTAGCGTTGGTATTAGCTGGTGGACATGCATCAAATGGTGCTGCAGTTCATGGTTCTCAGTCTGACAGCGAGTCAAATAATGCTACTGTGAGTTTATCTTCCCACTTCTTTGTGATTGCCACACCTAAACATCTCAATAACTTACTAAATTATGTTTGTTTTAGATTTTTGTTGGAGGACTTGACCCTGATGTTAGTGATGAAGATCTCAGACAGCCTTTTTCTCAGTTTGGTGAGATTGTCTCTGTGAAAATACCAGCTGGGAAGGGATGTGGGTTTGTACAATTTGCTGACAGGTATCTTCCTACATTGAAGTTGCAAAATGTGGTTTCATGGTTACTGTTATGGACTGATTATTTTACATCTTAGGAGTAATAAAGAATCTGTCTTTGTGAGTTTATTTGAATAAAGTGATATAGGTGATCTCTAATGGTTGATCTTTGTACTGATATGATGACCACACCATGTTTCCTTCTGTAGGAAGAATGCTGAGGATGCAATGACGAGTTTGAATGGGACAACCATAGGCAAGCAGACAGTCCGTCTTTCTTGGGGTCGCAGTCCAGCACACAAGCAGGTATGGGATATTCTTAGTTATAAATGATATGGGCCTAATTGTACCTGTCTTTGCAAAATGCATGAAGAGATCGCAACTTACTATTTTTTAAGCCCATTAAAGTAGGTGTTCTTCTTAATTACTCTGCCTTGAGAATTATATTATAGCTTAATTACCTTTGTACTTTCTGTTTGCTATTTTCTGCATCAAAATTGAGTGATCGCCTACATGTTTCAGTTGCATTGTTTTCTTTCAATTTTGTATCAAAGTTTTATCTACTGCTAGTCTGCTATCTTTATTCTGGTAATATATTCCTATTGGAATCTGAACCTGAATTAAATATCAAAATGGCTGAATTCATCATTAAGGTTATATGTCCGGAGGCTCTCTTCCCTTCTCTTTTCTCTGACTTTTTCTCGAGTTTCTTATTTGATCAACTTTGCTTCTCATATTAGACTTTCCTTTCAATTTTTGAAATTGGTTTGACAGTGGAGAGGAGAGCATAATAACCACTGGAATGGTGCATATTATCGAGGCCAGGGTTACACTGGGTATGGCTACGCTATACAACCAAATCAGGACCCAAACATGTATGCTGCTGCTGCTGTTCCCGGCGCTTCTTAAAGTGGGGACCAAATAGGACTGATTGCCTGCTGTAATCTGAAGCAGGGAGACTGAATTTCTAATGTATTCATCAAATATGTGTGTGTGATACCATCTGTTGTGGCAGCTGTTTAGCTGAATCTGTTGATTGGAGAATTTTGTAGTTGAATTTAAATTAAAACCTGGAAATTTGAGGATTGTATTAACACATTATTCACCCTTGTGCTATGTGCTTGAGAGCTATTTCTACATTTATCAGTAATCTTTATTCTATTTGCCATGCATGTTAGTCCTTTACATACGGTCTCCCCTCTATCTCTCTCTCTTTTTATTCCATGGTTGCCCCCTTCTCTTCCAAGATTTTAGATTTAATTTAAGGGTTTTTCTAATATATGTTCTTAAGATATAGGTTAAGAGTTTTGAAAAAAATAAAAAGAATAAAAAGTAACATTTAATTTATTAATTGTTTAATTAAATTGATCCAAGTAATATTGATTTTAAAATTAATATTTATTTTTATATTTTTTATATAATTTTATTATTAAAAAAATACTCTTAAGCACATGTTAAAAAATTTCTTAATTTAAATATACAGAAGTATGCAGTTGTTTTGGAGAGAAAGATTCAACTTAGTCAATCTGCAGATTGATCCTCGACTCATGAAGGGCACGGGTTAGCCTTCACTTTGATTTGTGACCTGTATTAGTGTGACCTTAACCTGACTTAACCCACTCGTTTGCCTGCCTTAGTTATGGCACACAAAAATGCCAGCAATTGATTTTCTCTAGTATATATGTACAAACATTTTGTTGTTGATCCCTCTAACTAACGGGGGGACAATTGGTGACTCTTCAGAAAGGTCAGGACTAGGAACATGTTTGGTAAAGTTTATGAGCAAATTGCTTGCTCTACTAAAAATTTTAAAAAAAATTTAAAGAAAGAATTTGGTTTTAACTTCTAATATGATTTATAAATAATTTATGAATAAGTTTTAAAAAATCTAGTATCACTCTAATTTGAGTTTATAACTCTACTTAGTGAAAGTTTATGCTGCCCATCAAAATGATTATTGAGTATTAATATTATATAAGCATGTTTTGATGATAATCATATCTAGCAACAATTTTTTTTTTGATAATTTATTTATAAAAAAAGTAAAAATTAAGACATTTTAAACATAGGACTTCTTATACAATTAATCAAATATTTTTAATAATTTTTTTGTAACACGAAATTAATAATAAATATTTTAATTTTTTATTATTGTTTCTAACATTTTAATCTTGTTTCACAACCAATTGCTTCCTTGTTCCTGGATTAAGCGGCTTAAACCAAAGCTGCACCTTCTTGATACAAAGGAAGCACCTTAATATTTATGTATGAATTACTATTTTCAAGAGGTCTGTAATCTATAAAGTGGGCCAGAACTTTCATAATTCTTAGGTTAAATCCCCGGTTCAGTCCCTGAACTTTCATTTTTAAATTAAATTTACCCTTGAACTTCAAAAAGTACTAAAAAAAATCCATGAATTCAATTTTTGAGACCAATTTTGTCCTTCCGTCAACGGAAGTGCCAGATGGCACATTAAGTTGCATGAAATCAATTCTTATTTTAAATCTTTAATGATGTGAAAAATAACTTAACCCAACTTGTCATTTTTGTTATCCATGTCATTTTAATTAATTTATATATTAAAAAATTTAAAATTCTTTAAATACCTCCATCTTCATCTTCCAGCCCCCCTTTTCTCCCTTCTCGTCTCTCTCTATCCTCTGATGCCTCTTCATCTTGCAACCCACCTAGCACCAATCATCCCTCATTGCTCCAGTCATCCCTTACCACACCGATCAACACATGATCACCAAAAAGAAAATGGAATCCGAATCACCAAACCTCTCCTTCTTCACCAAACCTCTCCTTTTTCCTCAAACCTCCTCCCTAATGGAACCCAAATTTGGTTCCTCGCACAATAATAATGGCCAATAGATTTGATTCAAAAATCAATTACATTGCAAACTTATACTAGATTTGTAAAGATTCAAAAAATCAACCATACTGAAAACTTATACCAAATTTGTAAGAAAAGGAAAATGCAAAAAACACAACATCCCTTCAATCAACACCAACAGTAACTAGATCTTGAAATTCAAGCAAGCAAAAGCCATACAAGAAACAAAAGAACAAAGAAACAAAAGAAAAAAAGAAGAAGAAAATGAGAAGGGGAAAAGAACTTGCGCATGGGTTTCATCGAACCCAGGCGTGCTGGGTTGAACCCAACATTGGTTCCTTTGAACCAAGGTTTTTAAAATTGGACCGGATCGGCCGATTGAATCGGTCAGACCGATACCCGATGATGAAAATGGTTCAATTTACATGAAAAAACCCTTTGATGTCAAAATCGGTCAAACTGATCAAAATCGATCAAAAACCTATCAAAACCGATGAAACCGATGGAACCGATGGAACCAAAAAAACCACCGATTCAATTTCTCATGCAATCTTCTTTCATTTTTTCCAATTTCACCCTCCCCATTCCTTTCTTATACCCATTTTAACCTTTAATTTTAACAAAATTACAAAATTATCAGACACCAAATTAGAAAATCCCGCTTACAGCATGCTCCTCTCGTTGGATTTCCCTTGCTGTTTGGACCGATCGGTTCACCAGTTCAACTGGTTGAATCGAGAATCGAACTTAAAAATGGTTCAATGATCGGTTTGGTTTTAAAAACCTTGCTTCGAACCTAATAAGCAGGGGGAGGA